TCTTTATCTTTATCTTCGCCACCTAAAGCACAGTTGGGGTGGAGATCAAAGTCGCACTTGTTGCACCAGAATGACCATCCTTGTCCAAATTTATTGCATCCATCACAATTATAACCTACGCGCTTGGTGAGAACAAGTTCATGCTCCTCATGAAGTGCATGCTTCACTTTCTTCGGCCACTCCTCGGCCATCTTTTCGTATTGTTCCTCAATCTCCTTAATACGTTCCTCAGTGAATGGGTAAGCATTTGCACCATGAAAAGCAATTAGATGTCTGGCTTCGGTCGTGATGGTCTTGCCAGTTGGCCCGAGTGCTACTAACATCGGAATGCCTCGAATCTTGAATAGACGACTTAAAGATTCCTTCCTTTTATCGCCAAATGGAAGTGCCAGCCATGGCATTGTTGAAAAGAATTCATTAAAGGATGTTTGATCTTTGTCACTGGAGATGAATATCACTTCAAAGTTGTCGTCCTTTGCTTTGATCTCGTGGTATGCTTCAATGAGCTTTGGTAGAAAAGCACGGCATGGAGGACACCAATGCGCAGAGAAGTAGAGAAGTATATTTTTTCCGACAAGATCAGAAACCTGAACCTGAAATGAAAGGAAATGTCATATTAGTTACCAAAATCATTCGCACTAGAAGTATGAGTGAAGGTTATTTAGAAACTTAAAGGTCGGGTTAGGTACTACATATTACTAGACGGATGTTATTAAAGTGAAATAAGTATGAAGGCAGCGAAGAATAGCTTGCATACCTTAACTCCATCTTTCCCGATTACAAAGTTGCAATCTTCTGATACCAAAATTGATTCAAGAGTTTGGGATTCTCGCTTTATCTTCTCCAATTCTTCAATCTCAGCAAATTTCTCAGGCGTAAAAGGATAGGCCTTTCGGCCATGTTCTTCAATGACTTCAGCAACATTAGGATGAAGAGTCTTCCCGTCTGGCCCAATGACAACAACGGTTGGCAGGGAAGAGAGCTCAAAGTAACGTACTAACTTTTCACAAGTTTTGTCCAAAAGGGGCAATGAAAGCCATGGCATGCCTTCAAATGCTTGCTTAAACGATGGTTCCTCTTTACCAAGGGGTATCATCACAATCTCAAAATTCTCTCCCTCTTTTGTCAACTCTTGATATATTTCAACAAGCTTCGGGGTGAAAGCAAGGCATTTACGGTATGCAACCAAGGAGAAATACAAGAGTATAGTCTTACCTTCAAGTTCAACAACCGGTACCTAGTAAAAGACAATAGATGAGTAACATCATAATGGTGAAAAATATACATTAAATGTATATTACTTTAGAATCTAGTATTTCTGAGTTCTATATTAGCACATGAATTCTAGAGAGTGTCACCTTTTTCCCATCA